GTAGGAATGGTATGATCCTTCATTCCTTTCTTCGGAGCTTCGTATCGTACGTAACGATTCATCGGTACGTTGCAAGATCGTATTAATTGAAAGTGTCTGACATACTTGTGATATTTACTGAAAGAGGGCAATTTTTTTTATCAGCATGAAAATACCGTCAGTTGGGTTCTACTGGTCATTTTGATACGCCGCTACTTGCACATAATAGCTCAGAGTGACACATTTTTGAGGCTGTAATTCTCTTCAGTATGGAGAACTTTCTTCTATTGGTCATTCTTGTTCAAAAGAGGTGCCCGGTACCATTGTCAATATATTGTTTCCCATGTGGTTCATACTAGACTGTTTAATTTCATGTGCAAGGATAATTTTTATTCACGTGCATGCACCTTTTTAGTTTGAGTACAACACAGTCATATTTTATCGGGGGTTAAATAAAACTATTGATAAGTGTTAAGTATAGACAATGACACTCTTTCAGGACCATCAAAATAGGGTTACAAAGACACTCATAGGGGAACAGAGGAAGTAGTACTATATCATATTCCGGGTGGTTGTCAAGAATTACATACAATATTTGTGTTTTTTGCTGAGCCCTGGTTTTTGCCTTGCAGGTAACCAGGTGAGTACGTACCTCGTACTTCTCGTCAATCAGCACCCTGATACTGGGCCCTCCGGAACCAACACGCACGCATCCCCTCTTTGAAATCTAATATCGGGGGTATGATTTCGTGTTTTTTTTTTCAAATAAAACAACCACATTTCTAAAACGTGGGTTATTATTCACAAAAAATAACCCATGTTTTAAAACGTGGGTTCCTGGGTTAACCCACRAATAACCCACGAAAAACCCACAAACCTGCTGGGCCTTTTTCCAAAAATTAAAAACAGTGATTAAATAACTTCAATGACTCAAATACTTAACATCCTTGGTTCTCCATCAACCCAGATGACTGTAAATTCGTTGTTTATTTGTGGGTTCCTGGGTTCTTTCGTGGGTTATTTTTCACCAAAAATAATCCACGTTTTTCTAGGGGAGGAATTCGAAAAGGGGGATGTGCGAGTGGGTACCGGAGGGCCCTGGTGTGAAATGTTGATAGGCTCTTTAGTGTACGAAAATACATCGTTTACAATAGAGTGAGGGTTACTATTCACTAGCTACTCGTGATTGTGGTACGAGTACTAGGTATGTGCACTACCTCACAACTGGTGTTCCTCTGCCATAGCGCGCACAAGCTTGGTGCACCTTCGTCTACTGTATTATGTACTACTACATCCGACAAGGTTGCATTTTTGGTTGAGTGAGACGGAGGAAGCTAGGGGATGCTTATTTTCGGAAGGAGGAAGCAGGGTACGGGTACCGTACGGTACGATAAGTGCAGTTTCGGATCTCCGGCTGCTTTCTCACTTCGAACCTCGGTCATCCCCTTCCCAATCAAAAAGAGCAATACCGGTACATACTAGATATATCATCAGAGAGGAAGACAAACAAGGAACGATCTAGCATTCACACACAAAATGCCTTTGTTAGGAGTTGGTTTTAGCATGGGAAGCTCCGGTGACGGAGACTCACCGGCCTTTGGAAAGTCCCTCGGTAAGTTAGATCCAATCGATGACTCCACAATCAATCATCGCAAGGTTTCCTGTTTTCTCCTAGGTTACTTTCCTGGTACCTGCCATCCCTCGAAGTTGAATCCATCGAATAGGTTGGATTCGAAGCGGCGAGTTTCGTTTCCCTCCGAATCAAGCCCTTCATCTCATACGCATCGATCTACTGCGTGTCAACATTATTTCTCTCTAATATTGGTTTTGTTGCACTCTGCGCAATTCCGTTTCGTTCCGCCTTATTTGTCTTGAACCACCACAGACGAAATAATCTCCGATCGGCGCAAGGAGCAAGCCAAGGCCTCTTCGGGCAAGAGTGTCGCCGCGAAAAAGAACGGCAAGATCGAAGCAAAAAACAAGAAAACAGCGATGGCCGATCGCTCGATCGCAACGGGCCGGGCCAAGAGGGCTGCGGCCATAAAGGCGAGACGTGGATTAGCTGGCAACGGAGCGGGCAACGGAGCGAGCAACACGGCGGGAAATGGAGCAGCCAAAAACAACGCTAGCAGTGGGAAAAAGAAAAAGGCTAAGGCGTCGGCCATGGAGATCGAAAAGGAGGTCTACCGCCAGTCCCGAAAGACGTCAGAGAGCAAGAAGAGGGCCGAGCAAAAGAAAACTGGCGGCAGGCTGCCACCCAACTCGTCCCTGCGGGCGAAGAATAATACCAACAAGAAAAGCGTGGAAATTTCGCCCGAGGCCCCGGCCGTTGTCACCATAAAGCAGCCAAGGAAAACTCAGCTGATGGCCGCCATCAAGGGCATGGAGCAAGCCGGGTGCCCCGTTCCGGACGGTTTCCAGGTCGCGATGCAATTCATTCCCTCCCCTGTGACCAAAGCAACGAAAGGAATGGGGAAGAAATCGCAGGCCGGAAGTAATAAAAACAACAACAGCACTAACAAAAGGAACACTAGTGGACGAGGTCGGGGTGGAAAGAAATGATCGGCCAATTTGTGTTTCTGTGTTGTCATGATAATTTGTATTTAGATTGGGTGTCTAGGCTTTCCGGATTTGAAATTACTCTTGTGGATGGATGCGAGGGAGCATGTGTGACAGGCATCATTATTGTCGTTCTGTTCTTCTCACTGCAATGCTAATGATTTCATTTTGGTGGCGAGGAAAAGTAACTCGCTAGGTGTTACCTACCGCTTGAACAAAACGAGTGGATGTCGATTATCAAATTTAAGAAGAGAAAGGAAGTCAACTAGAATTAAATTTGAACCTGCCGTAAGATTGAAATGCATCACATTTGGAAGCAAACGCAGCAAGTTAACGCAAGCGCATCAATTTTGTATTGACCATGACTATAAAGCAACAAGAAACGATGCAATGCTACAATAACCAGGGAAAAAAGGAGAAAGGCATGCTAAAATGCCGGGGAAGGAAAAGATCGTAAAAGAATAATAATCATCAAATGTGTAATGTATGCATTGTAAACATCAAGTCAACCTTTCCCGAACATTGTTACGTAAGTTGAAACGATAAAGGACACTATATGCAGTGAACGTAAAAAGTGTTCGTCGCATAGTGTTCCAGTCAAGCAAGCCGGGATAACAGAGGTTACTATACTCTTATACCCTACTCGTAGTAACTTGACCACTACCCTTGAAACATGGTGTTGTCGTAGCGGAGGGCCTGCCTATTTGGCTTTTCTACAAAATTCCGTTGCTGTCGTGCACCGAAAGGTTTGGTACTTTTCGTGAAAGCATTATAGAAGTCAGTTACTTTCATTTCGCTTATTTCTTTATCTGTTTTTTTAAAAGATCTTGTCTATGTTGGTGGCCAACAGGAATCCAAAAACTGCCATGAACAAAAAGAAACCTCCGAGGGCCGCAAAACCCTTGGCCTTGACTTCTGAGCTGACCCCCGGATCACTGCGTTCGGCGTTGAGGACGGCTACCTGGAACTCGAGGACCGTGTTCGGCGGGATGACGTCCCCGGCACCACGCTCCCCGTAGGCCAGCTCTGCCGGAATGATTAGCTTTCGGTCCCCCCCGATTTTCATGGGTGGGATATCGAGTGTCTGGTCTCCGCAGATCCCAATGTCCCAGCCCTTGATCACTTGCCCCCTGCCGACGACGACTTCGGCCGGTTCGCCTGGTTCCGTCTCGTCGAAGGTAATCTTCTTGCCCTTGCCACCGCCAGCAATGGCGGCGAAAAAGGGGTTGGATCCACCCGACGCCGCCGAGGCGTCTTGCTGGTAGCTACCGGAGTAATAGCACAGGATCTGATCCCCAGGAAAGACGTTGCGACCGGTCCCGATCTCTACGTCCTCCCACGACAATCCGTTCCGTGCGACAATCGCCTCGGAGAGGGACGTTACCGATCTCTGCTGTTGGAGGCCCGTTGTTTGGGAATGCGGGGCGGTGAAGGCATGCGTCGTCGCGATACCCGCTAGGAGAGCGGCCAGGATGCGAACGGAAGAGGCAGCAGTAAAGTACATTCTGTATAGACTATTACAGTATGCTTATGAGAGGGATTGGCGGTTTTCTTACGGTACCGTAGCTTGTTGTCGGCAGGGGCGAATCCTGGAGGGTCGATGACGAAAACACCGATCCAAAATGAACTGACTTCAGAATTGAATTAAATTACAAACGGTACCATACTTCATGTATCCATACGTACGTACGTACTCGTGCGACAACCGCCAACGTAAAGTTATGTGCAAGAGGTTGTTCCTGATACTATCAGAATTAGCACGAGTGCAAATAATCGTAAAGCGTGTTCAGAGTTTGTATGATGCGATGTTTTTGACTCACGTGTTCTAGATTTTTCCGTTCCGTCAATCACGAATGAAATGAATCACGAATGGAATGAAATAAATATCGACTCCCACTACGGACACCATCAAGAACAAACATCTGTCGTACAAAGCACGTACCTTCACGTACAGTACAGTAGTACAGCTACAGACCATAATTTTGTGATTCATAATTCAGTCATCAAAAAAGAATTTCAAGTGCTGTATTAAACTCCCTCCGATGAATTCATTCAGATCAACAAAACTCCAGAGTCTGACCATGGCAACTGGTACAAAGAGCTCAATGAATCATTCGCGTATGAATCTACTAGCTTTCGCTGCCCCTATCAATTCCTTTCATCATCCGAATCGAATTAGATAAATCGTTTAGAGTATTTTAATTTAAATTCCTCGGTATGATCCCACGGACCCGAACCGTACTCTTTTGCTCGTCGTCCAAAATTGCCGTAATGCTACTACTAGCGGCAACCCTGACGGCGAGGACAGCGACGAGAACGATGGCGTTGACGACGAGCAGGGCATGGGCTCTGGTGGAAAGTCGAATTCAAACGCCGTTGGAACAAATGCATGGGACAGAAAGCCGGGTCTGCATTGGCAAACGATCCAGACGCCATCGCAGTTTGTGTTTGACTTTGAATTCCGCCAACAACGAAGGTGACGCAGAGACTCTCGACAATGATCGTGCAACTAGTTGCGAAAGAAAAACACCAGCGATAATTCCCGGCTGGACCGTCGGCAGAGCCATCGACGAATGCATTCGTCGCCTCGAGGCCAAAAACGTGACCGAGCCCGACTATTCCGCCTTGTATCTGGTGGCGGCGGCCCTAAAACTGCCATGGGAACGAGGAATTCGAGACCTCCAGGTGGGGGGGGGCAGAAGTGTCAGCAATGCCAATCTCCGCTCGAAACCATTGACCTCCGAGCAGGCCAGCGATCTAGAAGGGATGCTTAAGCGGAGGGAGGCTCACGAACCCATCCAGTACGTCCTCGGAAAATGGGACTTTCTCGATTACACGATCGCCATCCGCAGGCCCCTCCTCTGCCCGAGGCCCGAAACGGAGGAATTAGTGGCGGAAATCTCCGGGGAAATCGCAAAGGAACGTTCCTCCAAAACCAACCAACCCCTGCGCATACTGGACGTCGGATGCGGGACGGGGGTCATCGGGATTTCGCTGGCCGACCTCCTTCCGGACGCCGTGGTTGAAGCGATCGATGTCGAGCCGGTGGCCGTTGCCGTTTCGGCCGAAAATGCCGAGCACGTGCTGGGAGGCTCGGCCGCCGACCGCTACCAGGCGAAACTATGCCCAGCGGCCGACTTCCAGCCGAACCAATCCTTCGACGTGGTTGTCAGCAACCCTCCGTACATCCCCCGGGCCGACATGGAAACCCTAACCGACGACGTATGGAAGTACGAAAGCGATCGGGCCCTGTGCGGCGGGGATGATGGGTTGGACGTCGTCCGAACCATCATCGAAAAACTCCCCGAATGGTGCAGCCCTCGGGCTGTGTGCTGGATGGAGGTCGATCCCACCCACCCCCGGATGATCGAGGAACTTCTGTCGCGAGAGGACGGCGGATCGGCGAAGGGGCGGGGGAGAAGGGTCTGTTTCGAATCCTCATACAAGGACATGTTTGGGAAATACCGGTTCGTAAAGCTGAGGGTGGAGTAGGACGGATGGATGGACGAATGGAACCGATCGGTTGCTGCATTTCTACTGCGCTGCTGGTTTGAAAGATGCTCTGTGCACGGCAGGAGGCTTGGACGCGGTGTTTTGCGACTTGCACCCATCTGGTTTCGGAATTACCGAACCGATCCCTCTACCAACACAGACGCTAGATCAATCGTTTCCGCCACATTGTCAAAAAATTTACCGCACAAGAATAGACTCATTAATCGTCAATTTTTTAGCATTATCGTGAAAGATGAATATATGTAGTAGTTATTCATCATTGCTTATTGGCTTTTGATGCAACGCATTGCAAAGTCTACGAATGTGCTGTAATCGTTTCTATTAGTTACTTCTACTAACTAAAGGTGTAAGTGTATTGAGTTGTGAAACAAGAAGGACAAAATTGTATCTCTGTCACAAATGCAGACAGGTTCTCTACGTGGAATCTTTTCAGTTCTGGTTCTGCACGCGAGCTCCTGCTGCATGCATCATTATGAATTATGTATTTTTGGCTTTATGAATGAATGACTTTCGAGGACGGTGGTGAAAACATGCATGGTGCTACGGGGAGAAGCATGGACAAACTCGGGCTTCTCACGGCAGCGGATCGGTGGTCATTTCGTGGGGTCTGATCGTCTGACCTCTCCATGGCAAGACGCTCTTCTTCTTGCCTATCGAACGATTCGACGTCTCTAATGTAGTTTTGCAAAAACGTGTCCACCTCATGCCCAGCAATTTTGACGTTTGTATTCTCTAGGATAGTATCGGCGGTTGGACGCTTTCGTTCGTCGGGATTCGTCATGCATTGCAACAAACGCTGGAGGTTGTCACCGCGACAAGCGGGTAGCTTTGGTTCATCAGAGGATCGCAGCTGGTGCCATCGCGGCCCTTCCGATGGCATCTCGACATGATCGTCCATTGCAATTTCGTAGAGAGTGAGCCCAAGGCTGAAAATATCCGAACTGCTGTGCCTGGTTGCAGAAGCCAACAACTCCGGAGGCATGTACCTCGTGTCACCCTCTTGGCCCTCACCAGAGCTTCCAATGCTTCCCGCCAGGCCAAAGTCTCCGATTTTGCACATCGCTCCAAAACGAGCGTTTGTCACAAAGAATATATTGGAGGGTTTGATGTCTTGGTGTACGATTCCGTGAGAATGAATGTGTGATAATCCAGCCGAAATGTCATGGCATATCTTCCATACCGTCAAGTTTGGTACTAGACGGCCAAAGGCATCCATACTGCTGCCGGCTTCGACACCTGAAGGTGGAGGGAGTGTTTTCACAAGTCTTGGGTATTTCTTCTTAGCAGAATTCCAGAGAAAGCGGAGTGAATCCAACAATTCACGACATGTGTCTCGGCAACACAATTCAGTCTGCGAGTAAAAGTATCCATCCTCTTGCCAAGCTCGATAGAAAAAAAGAAGATATAAACTGTAGCAGTTTCTCTTGCTATCGGACGAGGAGTTGTTAGAATTTTCCGAGTGGTTTCTTTCTCCAGAAGCATTGCTTGTTGCAAACACGCTTTGGAGACGTTGCATGGATTGGACTTCCGCCAAGGCCACATCCCGGTCGCGTTTCCCTCGAAATTGTCTTCGATTGCGCTTGACAGCATAGAGATGGTCGTCACTTTTCTGGCGGACCTTGTACACGTCGGCAAATGTACCACTTCCGAGACTACCAAGAATTTCAAAATCGTCTGAAAAGGAAATCACAGCATTGATATCTGGATTAGACGGAAGTCGACGCATGAGCTTGGGCGGCGCAGCGATCTGATCGTGCGTTACTTTGCGTTCTTCGTGGGCATTGCCTGTCGATAAGGTAGATAATCCTAGTGGCTGTTCACATTTCTCGACGTCCATATTCGTGGTTCCATCTTCGTTTGTTGACTTCTCAGGAAGATTTTGGTTATCTTCTCCATTCGGATAGTTTATAGAATCGCAACTGTTCGAAAAGGAATTTCTGCTGCCACTATGCTTGCTGTCCTCGTCTAAAACAGATGTTTCCAGAGAAGATCTTCCTTCCAAAACTTGCGAGGGGCACGACAAAAGAACCTTTGTCATGATGAGCGAGTTTTGTTTGCGTGTAGGGAAGATAGGGCGGCCTCCTCCATCGTTGGCCCATGCGGGCGTGCGCTGTGGAGTTGGCGGGCACGCCCGTTCTCTTCGAGTTAGCGAACCGGCCCCACGACTATCGGTCGCGGTATTGTTGTCATCAATCGACCGATCGGCTGGCCGTGTGCTGGACGCTTTTACATTCTCGAACGCGGACATGTCGGGCATCGGTCTGAGACGCCTCTTTTGTGTTGTTGTGGTTGACTCGGAGGACGAGGAGATGGAAGAAGTGCTATCTTCTTTTTGGTGTGAAAGATGCTTTGACGCAGAATGAATGGGAGAGGAAGTGCCATTCTTACGAACGGAAGATATTGTCTCGAGCTGCTGGCGGTTCAGCATCAGTGCTCTGGAACACGATGGAGGCTCAACAAAATCATGCTTCGGAACACCAAGAATTGGTGAACATTCCGATTCGGGGGGAAAGTGCAAGTGAACCTCCCTTGGTGTGCTTGGAAGGCTATTGGCATTGCTGTTGACATTCTTCACAACCGATGCCCTCGGTGGGCTCATGGAAGAGGATGACGTTCCGACCATGAGGTTCTCTTCGTTCGTGTGCGCCGAGGCGTTGATTTGCGTATGCGAAGAAAGCGACGAATGAAAGCTGTGGATTGGGTTCTGAGGATCGTAGGGTCGAGAGAGATCAGCATTTGACATCAGTTGGATTTGCCTGTCGCCACCGAATCCATTTTCTTGTGAGTTTTCAAGGTTTTTCTTGTCGCTCGACGGACTCAAAAACACATTAAAATTCAATCGAGTCCTTCTCACAGTACCCTCCTGGTCGGGGGAAGCACTTGTTCGAATATCTTCACCAACGAACTTAGAGGATACATCGTCTTCCTCGTCGTCACTATATCCAAACATATTGGTTCCAAGCTCGTTTTGACGATTCTCGTCATCTTGCTCTCCGGGGAAGAGCAATAAATTTTTCATTGGAACCGATGCAAAATGAGGTGGGTGTTGATGCGGAAGGTGAGGCAAGTGCTGGTGGTGACCACCGTCCACCGACAAACTACTGAGGCTGGTGTTGTGCGTCCCGTCATCATCTTTCGATTGATTGACAGCATCGTGAATGGAGTAATTAAGTCCAACTGGATCGTTCTCGATCTCATCGTCGATATGTTCTGTCGCTGTATTTTTGGCATCTTCCGTATTCGCATTCTCTTCTTCGGTATCAAATGACATTCGTTTTCGAACCGATCCCGGGCAAACCGGTGGCGTTGACCTAGGATAATGGTTCGCGTGATGCACTCGAGGCAGAGAGGCTGGAAAGGAAGTAAAACGGAATCGAGCCGGAGAATTCGTATCTACACTGTCTCCATCTACTTCAAACGTTGTTTCGAGGGGTGTTGCTCCAGCTGCCGTTCCCGTGTGGTAAGGAAGCTTCTTCAAAAATGCCCCATGAGGATCGCTCGATAGGTTTTGGTGTATCGGTGTTTGTGTAGATAGCGAACGAATCTTGTCGGCTCCACCCTTCCCGGCCAGGGCAGCCGGGTGTGATAGACTGAAGGGCGGGGGAGGTTGAGATTTCGTGGGAGTGTTCGCAGCAGGAGTAGCGGCACACGAAGAGGGAGATAATGTTCCATACCGCCTCATGGGCGAGAGCCGTGCGGGATGGGCGAGTGGATCTCTGCGCCGTTTCGCCGTAGAAGAGGGAGCCGGACTTCGGTGCAAACCCGCTGGTTTTCCTGGAGTTCTGGCATTGGTGTTCTTTCCGTGCCTCAGCGGTCTCCCGGGGGTGCGAGCGGGAGTCTTCGACATGGGAAAGGCAAACGATCCTGTCGATAGATGCGTTCCGACGGTTGTTGCGGTGTCGCTGCTCCTTCGTCTGTCCTTCCGACTTTTTGCCGAGATCTTGGGCTTTCGAACGGTAGCTGGTGGTTTCAGATCGATGTAGCTCACTTCCTTTGCGGACGATAGCTTCGGTTGCCGCAGTTTCTGGTAATGGTGATGAATGCTATCGCTTTTGGCCGACGGTGTAAGATCTCCTGGATCAAAACACGAGTTCCTCGTATGTATTATAACTTGGCTGTCTCCTTCCTCCTCATCGAGTCCGTTTTCAAAAAGAGTAAGATCTCCGCTGCTGCAACTTGCTCCACCCCCCCTCAGCAAAGAAATGTCAAAGGAAGAATGCAACGCGGTTGCTACAGTTGTGCCTTCGTCCTTGTCGTCGTTGCAACACGAAGATGCGGATCCTCCCTCGCAAAAGCTATTTCCGGTCATTTCAATGTCTTGCGATAAGGGGGGATTGCAATTTATCTGCTTTTGCTGCTCCTGGTGATGATCATCAAGACTTCTCGTCCTCATTATACTTCCACTTTTCAAAGGTGTCTTTAACGCACTCCCGAAAGGTGACGGTGAACGATAGCTGTTAAGGTGTCCTATCGATGTGATATTAATACTGTGTTGTTGTTGTTGCGCTGCTCGAGGCTTTCTTGTGCTGCTACCTTCCGTTTCGGGAAATGAGCTTGTGGGTACCTCAGTGATCATGTTGGAAGTAGTCCTATCGCCAAGATGTAATACAAATCAGTTTGTGACTCCTGCGATGATAATGATAATCCTCGCTTTCGCTGCGGAGGTACAGTGCTGTGGGTTCTTGTGTACTTAATATTCTTGTGTACTTAATATTGCCGACGAAGAAGGATGGAATCTCGCAACAAATTTAAAAATTGTACGTGAAACGCGCGATCGTGCTAAATTCTTCGTCGTAGAAGCAGTAGTGAATTGTACCTGAAAAATTTCGGCAGATTTGTTTTTATTCCTGTTTTGCATCCAATGCGAAGCACACACGAAATCTCGATTGCTTGCTGGGGCGAAACGCAGTACAGAGCTGCAAAACCGATGCAATGGAAGCTATCGAACGTGCAAACTTTAGTATTTTTCTCGTCAAAAATGGGAAGAGGTAGGTCGAACAACTGGGTTTGATTGCTTATTGTATCGACGGCGGTCGATAAGGTGCTGCCGTCGTTGCTTCCACGGGATACGAGTTGATGAACAGGTGTTTGAATTGTTGGTGGCATACGATTCGTATTAGCGTACAGCACTGCAAACGAAGGTGTCTCGACACGATCTGAGAAACGTACGAGTTACTTGTACTCTTCGTGCTTCTACTACTTCCGGGTTTCAAATCAACCCTACGAAATCAGGAAAAATAATGGCGCGGTATTCTATTGTTCTACCAGAACGTGTGTTGAACCCCACTACGTACCGTACTGTACTATCTACCTGTATAATACGCATACTACGAACCACATGATATGAGAATATGAATTTAACTTCTTCTTAACGTATGGTTCTGGTGGGCGAACAAGGTTTCCAGTCTTGATGCTGTACCACATACTACACTTCATTTTGATCGTCTACGCTGCGCTACGGTACGGTACGTACGTACTGTAGAGGTCCATTCTGTAGAACTTATGACGTCTCATTTGAGCGATTTTGTGCATCGACTAAATCATGTCAATATAATTAGCAGTAGTAATTCCCGATCGTCCGCCGACCGCTGTTTTGAAAAAATATCTTTCATGTTCGTACGACTCGTTTACGGTACCAATTAGTAACAGCGGTTTTTTCTTTTGGACATGTTCCTACGGTATGGTACTAGGGAGGAAGGACAATTTCGAATTTTGGTATTCAAGTACGAAGGACTTATTTAGCTTTTTGCGTGTTAAATGGACGAGAACTATGCGATGAAAGTAGTTAGAGTTACTGTACGTACGTTTTTACGATAACGGTACGTACGTCTCTTACTGTATCGTTATTCGTTATGAGTCGTAACGAGTCGAGCACGTATGGTACGTACTGCAGCTTTCGTTCAGCGCTATCACGCAATCAGAAACTCAGATGAAGTGAACATCGACCAATACAGTTTTTCAAGCTCCGACCCCACGGTAGCCCTGAGTCGTTGATGAAAGAAACAAAAGTGAGCAAGACGACGATAAGGAAGTCGATACGACAAACTGAATTTTCCATAAGAAGTTTGATTAAATTGGCTCTAGAGTAAGATCGTTTCGCTTTCAGACAATGCAAAACCGATAAGATGGTGCCGTCCACACTGAAAAGAAAGCTAGCAACAATTGAAGCAAAGAATCGAAAAGGTAGCAAGAAAAAACGAGGATTGACCACGACGAAGAAAAAACAGAATAAAACCACTAAGAAGGCTTCTTCGGCTCGCTCCACATCGAAAAAGAAGGATCCCACTAGAAGTTCTATTTCTAAGCCTAGAGCGACTTCCAACTCATCCAACGCACCTTGTCCTGCAAATGGCAACAGTAGAAACGTTCAAGGGGATGCTAGACTCCAGGGGAACAATCGAAGAAAGGTGGAACGCTCACCAAATGGAAGGGCAAGGTGCCAAAAATGTCGACAGATAATCAAGAGAGGGGAAATTCGAGTCGGGATCCCGATTTCTTCTGCGTCGGCGAAGACCACGGCGTACCAATATTATCACAATCGATGCCTTTCGGACGTACACAAACCGGGTTGTGTGAAGGAAACACACTCGCAAATCAGGGAAAAGATTTTGTCGCAGCGGGCGAATCTTCTTTGGAATCTGCAGCAATATTGGTCGCTCCTCGGCACGGAGAAGATCCACAAATTGGTGATTGCTCTGCCACAAAACGAAAGAGATCTGTTCAAGGTCCTCGGGGCGACGTCATCTTCGTTTCCTTATGACCATAGTAGATTGAAGTATCTATTGGATATCATTCGCAAGGCGAGGCAGAAAAACGAAGCAGTATCTACAGCAGCAGCTTTAGGAGGATCCACCGCGCAACGTCAGATGGCTGCGAATTCTTCTCGTCGAACAAACGACCCGTCGGAAGTGATCGTAATTGACGATACGGATGACGAAGACGAGGTGGATATGGGCAACAAGTCCGACTCTGCAGTACCCGAGGGTTTGGAGAAAGACGATCGTCTGGGGGATGATGACGATGACGATGATGGCGAGGTTTTGGTTGGTGGTACCTTGTCGTGTGCGCAGGTGATACAACAAAAGTTTGATCAGGCTGCTGCAAACGGCGAGATTCTCACCATAGACTGACTCTTGATATCACTCAACGCAAAATTAGGACACAACAGCTGACGAAGCCTGTTTATCTTGGTCTCCCCCAAGAAAGTTCGATCTCTTGTCGAGATCGTGGCAGTCGACCGATGCTTCGAGAATGAAAACACAGTGGAGTTTGGAAAAAAATCTTTCCAACACGATTACGCCCTTGATACCTCGCTAAAGAAGACGTCCAATCGACAGTCGTGGTTGTTATCATTGGCTGACAGTAAAATCTCACTCTCCTCAGAAGGTTCTCTACGTCCACGATACTTGATTGTACTGTAAATTGATTTTCTTCACAAAGAAAGCTCAAAGAAGATCGATTGGCATACATCGGAAAAAAAATACAACACTACGAAGCTGTGATTTGGAAGGGACACTTCGTTTTCGTTTAACTTTGATGGAATCCGTTGTATGGCAAACGGTAGTACGATTGGGCTGCAATCATTTTGTTCTTTTCGGTTAGAAAACCCCCAAATTGAATGGTACAGAACAATAGGACTCTCATTAACGATTGCTTCCCAAGCAGGCTCTGCCATGTAATTATAACTTCATTAACTCTGTATATACTGTAGGTTTTCCGGTTGTTGTTTTTCATTCATGTTTCTTCGCCGCTGTTGGCGCTGTCCCGTTTCCGTATCATCATGTCCAAATACCGCTGGTTGGTCTTGTGTTTTGCCTCGATCGTTTCCAGGACGTTTTTGGCGCGGATCCTCGTCTCGAGCAGCTCTGGGAGCTCCGTATCGGTTACCAGCATGCTGTCCCCCGATTTCTCCAGCTGCGCGCTGAGGGCCCGGTATTTTTCCTTGGCCCTGGCGAGGTCGGCCTCTGCGGTCTCCAGCGCCTGCCTGGCGACCCCCAGCTGCAGCGCGGCTTCGGCCGTGGCGGTCTCGAGCTTGGCAATTTTCTCGTCCATGGCTTCGTGGTGTGCTGTGTGTGCTGTTCGTTGTCTGCTGCCGTTTGGTGTCGGATGCTGTTGCAGCAACACTAACAACGTTGGAGAATACTTGTACGAATTTATTCACTATGGCAACATGGCCGTAAACAATCGAAATCGGTCAATCGGTGGTACTCTGTTCAGATTCGTACGTACGGTATGTACGTACCATAAAGTCACAGGTATGGTTCGTAGTTTGTACCGTACCGGCCGGTACTCGTAAGTTACTTTTGTAGAAGGCAGAGTATTTGGTGATTTTGATTCATTCGACTCGATGGTTGAATTGAATCTTGCGATCGGCGTGACCTCCCTCTGTGCGATCTGCGATGGAGGCTCTCGAAGTTCTGAAATCGCCAGTTGGAGGAAGATAGCATGCTGTCGTCGGTCGGTCGACGGAGAAAACAAAAAACGTCGTACGCTTCCTTAAATTTAGTACAAGGTACTGGTACTTGTCGTCTGTTCTTGGCGACCGTTCTCGGTCGTACCTGGTTTAGCTGTTAACGTACGGTAACGCCGCGCCAAAATCGAATGCAAAACCGTACGGTACGGTACGGTGGTGTACGGTACGGAACCGTCCATGAACTACGATCGGGGTAACAAGACTCCATTTCCAACCTTTCCACATGGTGTTCTGTCGTCCAACAAAGGACAAAACGCAAGCAACAGGCCCTTTTACTTCTCAGAATTGGATATCTTTCGATTCGATTCGATTCCTCGGGCAGGGCACCTTCGTTTCGATCTCTCAATTAACAGGAGTGGACCCGGCTCGGACCCCGTTAAGACAGACAAGGAGCGTGACAGAACCTTGCAAATCCATACTCTAGATTTTAGACCGTAGGTGCAGAGGATCCATTTCTTTGCTATTGATTCATTCACAAGCCTGAGACAGAAGCAGATAAAAGCAAAAGAGAGAACCGGATGGTCCGGAATTCATTCGATTCTTGTGTTTCCTATCTATCTCGCAACCTGCGATCGATTGGTTCGATCCGATTCGACTCGATTAATTCTTTCTTCGATTCCGCCAAACCAAAAACAAGCAAAGCCCTGTCGGAGTTTGTTAGCTCTCAGAGATTGATTGATTGATTGATTCCTTCCGCGCACAGGACCGGACCGAATCACCAAACGAACCAACCAACAAGCAAACAAACGCAGCAGAAAAGGAGTACCAGAGCTCTGTCCTTGCTCGGAGTAGCAGCTTACGAGTTCTTGCCAATCAATTCATTCATTCCGTTAGAGCCTTGTCTGCAACGCTCGAAAAAAAGAAAGGTTGAGAAAGGAAGCTCGAACTACTCATTTCTTCGTTGCGGAACTATCCATTAGCGTTCTGAGTATATTTGAATCCCAATTGAATCCAATCAAATTAAAGCACATCGGATCAGATTGGTTTTGATCTAGCCAAAAAAAATACCAACCCTGCACAAAATTCATATACTGCATTTCTCCGTACCTGAAAAGAAAAGCGACAAAAAATCCAACTCCATACCATTGCATAAAGGACCAAAAGGTCCTGTTGATCCCAAAAGCACACAACAAAACCCATGAGTTCATGCGAGATCTCGGGCCATCCCGCCGGCGAACCGGATGCCGCTGCGGGGGCTGGCTGCAAGCCGAAGGCAGAAAGCGAGTGCGGGGCGACAGCCGTTTCCACCGACAGCCGATTTTCCTGCAACATTTGTTTCGAGGAGGTGGTAGAGCCGGTAGTGACGAGGTGCGGCCACCTGTACTGCTGGCCCTGTCTCTTCCAGTGGCTGGAACCGGGCATGCGCCGCGGGGAGCGCGAAACGCTGGGAATCGGCCTCCCCCCATCGGCGCTCTACGGAAACACACGAATCGGTGACGACAGCCGCCGCGTCTGCCCTGTATGCAAATCGGAGTGCCCGCTGTCGTCGATCATTCCGGTCTACGTCAGGGCCAAAACGCCGAGGGCGGGAACACCGTACTCCGTCTTTCGCAGCACTCCAGCCACAAAGGAACACGCCTACAATCCCAGCAGCAGCAACAATAGCCTAGAGGAACCACGACCAACAGAAGGGATCCAGACGCCTGAAGAGACCGGAAGCCAAGTAAACGGAACAGAAAATGACTCGGAGATTGCAAACCGCGGGACCAACGCTGAAACTGGATTGAGGCAGCGGCGGATACAACACAACCCGGAAGACGATGCGGGCCACCTCCACCGTGGCACCGTTCCCGTTCCAAACCGACCTTCGGTGCGGCGGATTCCACCGGAGCAACAGCAGCAGGAGGAGCCCTCTTCTCCCTCGCTCTCGAGCCGGATCAGCCCGAGGGAGTCCCCCCGGGCAACACCGAGCAACCCCTATCGGGTGGGGGGCCTAGACATTGCACCGCGATCTCCCAACGGTCACAACGCTAGCCTCACGCATGGGATTCTCTCGTCGTTCCAGCGTGCGGCCGCCGACTACTATCGGATTAGCACAACCAGCAACGGGAGCCGCGACGGCCAGGGGCCAGACGGGACGCGGTCGATCCCCTCCCTGCACGACCTGAGCCGGAACGGGGGGGGACGGTCAGGGACCGGTGGCTACTACTACGGCAGCGAGGGGGACGGCACCTCCCCGATCGATGTCAATTCGGAGACGACACAGTACCTGTCCCGGTTGCTCATCATGTTTACTTCCTTTGTCATGTTCTGCTTCTTGCTGGTATAGCACGGGATTCTGTTGTATTCGGTGCTAAATTTGTGTGCACAAAAATCAAAATAGGAAACAAACAAGCAAATATAAAGACATTCAGCATACATACAAGCGCTCGAAGTCAATTATAATATTTTTACTTTAGTTTTGGACTAGTAGTAGTGGTAGGATTGCATGTTCTTGTTTCTGACGTAACAACTATTCCTGTATAATACTAGAATGAAAGTTGTGACCAAGCTATATGAAGAATAAAGATGGGTATCATATGGTACCTTCATATTTTCTTCTGGTTGCTTGATAGAGCGGTATACTCCTGTGAAGAAGAAGCAAAGAATAGGTATCCTAACTCATCAGTGAGGAGATTGAGGAAATTGCCATGATAGGGGCGGATTAGTACAAAAATGTCATAAGGAATGGTTGCAGAAGTTGCAATGTTGCTGTATGTAAATAACATTGGAGTAACTTCTTCAACATGAATAATTTATATTTGTTAAAGATATTCCTATAATATTGTTATTGGTGATGAGAGGGGTGTGATAAGTGGAGCAGTAGTGGAGTACTACCAAAAAAAAAAAAATCCTAAATTTTCCAGGTGGCAACATTTGGCAACACGCGACGGGAAAAAGTTAATGTACCACTAAATATTGTGGGTACAAAAATATGTGCGTAACAAAATAAACGGAAGTGAAAATACATTCGTATTTGCAGATACCGTGAAAATACTTGTGACCTTCCAGACCAAAATCTATTTGGCGATTGGTCAACATACAAGAGTAGTGCGTGGTCGTCGGCCCGGCTGTCGTTTCTCTAAGGGCAAAATAATTGTTCGGTCTGCTGCGGTATGTTCCACCGCTTGAATGGAGACAGAGCTAAACCCTTACTCCACAAATACTGGGGTTGCGGCAAACCATATAACCTGTTTGGATGGTGTATAACCTGTGCCAGCTCGCCTGGTACGCATGCAAAATGGAGAACATCCTTTCAGAAATGGTTGTTCGTAAACCTCTGGACCACCCCCCCCTTCAGCCCGTCCCCGAAAGCAATGCGGAAACAAGCGAAACCAAATGGCAACGACAAGCACGCTTCGACGAATTTTGAAAGCGATGGGAATGGTAGAAATCAGCGAAGAATCGTCGGTCGGAGCTTCACCGAATGTCCAGCAACTGTGGAATATCTTTTGTGAAGAAGTTTTGCACTGCATTGTCCTCGATTAGTTTGTCGGTATCAAAGTTACAGAATTTCTTTCGTTCGAACGCTTTAAAGAAGGCCTCCTCGTGGTGCTTGGTAGCTTCTTCCGACAGGTCAGGATAGATTTCACGTTCGTATTGTAGCGATTTCTGAAGCAGGCTTTCGAGATGCGTTTGGTTTAGGCACACAAACGGTAGGCTGTCTTTGGTCTTGTTCAGTTTTTGTAGCAAATACTTCTCAGCTATTTGAGCAATTTCGAAGCGGAGAGTAGCACTTTGATTCACAAGCAATCCACGCTCGTGGGCCTTGACTGCAAGCCTGTCATAGTCAAAATTTTTGGAGGGATTGGGTCGACCGACATAGCTAGCATTGGCTTTCGCCATGCGTAGCACATCTCCTGCCACAAGCGACAAATTCTCTCGAAGCAAAAGGGTTGTAATATCTTCACCATCGTTTTTGTGCTCCATTTCATGCATGTTGAGCATCACTACATTGCTTGAATGGTTTTTCCACAATCTCCGAAGATATTCCGCAACGTGGATATTGTCTATCTCTGCCAGTTTTTGGTATTCTGACCATTTGAGTTTATCTCTAGCAACTTTTTTGTGCTTGCGGGTTATGTACTCTAAAAATGTTTTGCATGTTTTTCCACCTTCTGAAGGCCACTTTTGAAATTTTTCTTTGTAAGGACTAACTGGATCGTAAAAGTTCTTGTGAGGTTTGTTGCCTTCGTTCCACATGCTTTGCATCCATTCGTAGTATCTGCGATACATGACCACAACACGTACACGGCCGGGATAATACTTGTTCAGAAGCCTGTAGAGTACAATGCGATTATCCACGCTGTCACCAACTATGATCCCCATTCTACTAAAAGCCTCGTCTGAGATAATGACGCTTTTGTTGTGATTAGCATAATGATGCAGCTGAGCTTCCAAATTTCTCCAAAGCGATGTATTCGTGCACAGCGATGATTTAAAGCACGTATTGATCAATCCCCGGGTGTCAAATACCGGACCCGAGGCCACACTTGGATTGATGCAATGTCCATATACACGGCCTATGTATGCAACGGACGCATCCGCGTATAGCTCCCCTCGAAAATGGGAAAGGTCGCACTGTATGGTTGAGGTACCGGTTTTGTGTGGTCCAATGTGTAAGACAAGCGTTGGACTTTCATCAATTCGATCCTTGTTCCTATTAACGACTGCACCATTGGGATCGTCAGTAGGGAGTATTGTAGCGCTTGTGCTGGGCTTCGCGGTCGGGCGCTCCGTGCGACGAGACGGCATGGGAGTTGATAGATCGATCGGGAGAGGCGTGGGAGCTGGTATTTCGGTCAAAAGAGAACCATTTGGTCTAGAGATTTTCTTTCCGTTGATTTTCTTCCCTCCCTGGGCATAGTGGCGAAAGAAAACCGAGCTGAAACCGACGTTATAAATGACAAAAATTGCCACAACTGATGCGGCCGCCCACGTCTTTCCTTTGCGACTCATCGCCATCCTAAGTAGCTATCGTAGTGCGTCTTTTTTCTCTCGTTTCCTATCTCTGTCGTTAATGTATTACAGACCTTACCCATTGCTGCTGCTCCGGCTTGTATCTGTCTTACAGTATGGTTGAGGAACTGACAACGTTGACATTCGTTGACCAATGCAACCTGCTAAGTATCGTACTTGGTTAACTCTTGAGATTTTTAAGAGTGATCTCCTCAGAAGTGAAAAATAGAAATCTATTTTAAATTTTGAAAATCGCTGTCCTCGCGCTTCGGACGCGTTAATGATTTATGACCGTTGACCGTTCTTTGGTATGTTATATAACTGTGGAGGAGCTCGCGCAGCGCGTGTACCCAAAACGTACCAGAAAATGTACTCTGTTGAGGTCCGTGTTATTTGTGTGGGAAGAGTTTTTGTACCTGGGTTCTCGAGCTACGTTTTGGGTACACCAGTAACATCACTGAGGTCGAGAGCTTTAGCTGAGACCGAAGTGAGGTTACTGCAAGTATCTTCAACAAGCTTGAGAGCTTTAGCTCGAAAGCTTGTTGAAGATACTTGTTGTGCTGAAGCGGAGCTCCTCCACAGTTATTTACGTAACCGTTGAGCAGCTCAACATTTCCATGTACTCAGCGCTGCTGTGGCCGAAGGCCGTAGCAGCAGCAACCAACAAAAACTACTACTAGTATTACTACTACAACAACAAGAATGGGCTCTTTTTAATGCTGCAAATGAACTACAAGCACTGCCTCCGCGATGTAGGGGACTGGGCTCTTTTTTCCCTCTCCGAATTGATCAAATGAACTACAAGCACTGCCTCCGCNCAAGCACTGCCTCCGCGATGTAGGGGACTGGGCTCTTTTTTCCCTCTCCGAATTGATCAAATGAACTACAAGCACTGCCTCCGCGATGTAGGGGATTGGGCTCTTTTCCCTCCCTGGTCCCCCTCTCCGGATCGATCAAATGAACTACAAGCACCACAGCCTCCTCCGATGTAGGGGAATGGGCTTTCTGGAGCCTGCAAATGAGGAACTACAAGCACTGCCTCCGCGATGTAGGGGATTGGGCTCTTTTCCCTCCCTGTCCCTCCGGAGATTGCTGCAAACAAACTACAAGCATTGCCTCCGCATTATAGGGGATTGGGCTCTTTTCCCTCCCCGGTCCCTCCGGATGCTGTAACCGAACTACAAGCATTGCTTCCTCTGATGTAGGGGACTGGGCTCTTTTCCCTCCCAGAATGCTGCTTTTCCTCCAGTTTCGATGAAAAAATGAACTGATTTTCAGTTTCTGGTACAAAATTCACGTAGGATTCTACGAGAAAAATAGAAATCAAGGCTCCAGACTGCTCAAAATGCTGCTTTCCTCCAGTTTCGATGGAAAACGGACTGATTTTCAGTTCCTGGTACAAATTTCACGTAGGATTCTACAAGAAAATTAGAAATCAAGGCTCCAGACTGCTCAAATTTTGTATATTGTGAGCAAAATCCAAGCCTTAAATAAGAAATACATAGTACGTACTTATGGTTCAGTCTTTCCTCTTATTGTGATTGGCTTGTGGTGAACCTTCGACTGCGTCAGCATTGAATCAAAGACTAATGATTCATTACCTTTATATCCAGCAATGATTAGAAATCATTATATTATTCTTCACGCTACTAATTGTATTGCCGCTGCTATGTTGCCGGAAGCTTTTTGCTCCCCTCAGCAGTAGCAAGCTCAGTTCTTATTAGTAGCAACAAGCAAGCAAACACCAGCAACGACTGCTGCTGCAACACAGAAGAGTGAATCACTTACATAATAAAACACATCGAATGTCTCTGGTGCTGGTGCATTGTTGCAATCAGCTGCTGTTGAAGCTTCAGCTCGTTTGCGGCAGACTCTAGTTTCTTTTCAAGGGAAGCAGTCTTTTCTTTCTCCCATTCAAGTTCTTTTTGCTTGAATACATCCTTCCCCTCATGAATTCCGATTGCAAGCTTCTTTTCCTGCAACTCACTGGTAAGCGCCGCAATCGTCTTCTTTGCTTCATCAAGATCCTTTTCAAGCTCGGTGAGTCGACGTTGCTTCTTGTCGTTACTACTACTACTAGTATCAACAACAGAGGACTCGACAGCTTCAGCTTTTCTTTTTGCTGCAACTGCGGATGCTCGTTTTAGCTCTGCAAGAAGTTCCACTTTCAACTCAGTACCGGGGGATGAAGAAAGTTGCTTTGTACTACTACTACTATCATTGCTCGTCGCTGCTGGAAGGTTCTTGCTTCGACGATGATGAGTTATCTCCTTTTTCTCAACGCTCGTCTGCTTCTTGTTGTAATTGAATCCAGCATGAAGAGTGTTTTGTACTCGCTGCTGAGTTGTCGACGTTGCATGATCATACACTTGAGAGGACTTTGCACTACGGTGCCGAAGATGATTCATCTTGAGCTTCTCAGGAACATTCACATCGGATGCTAACACAGTACAGCATCGATGCCTGTTATCATGAGGAGTAAACTTCTCCGCATCCTTGTATCCAGCCGCTGTGGCAATTTCCTTCACCCACCTCCGAACAGCATCCTGGCCAACTGGCATGCCGGCTTTGAAGTAATAGGGACAATCCTTGTGTCTGTGCTCGTTGACATAGCACAGGAACCTTTGCTGTTCTGGATGGCATCGGTCTCGATAGAAGAAGATCAGCTTGACAATACAGTATGGATTGTTTTTGTCTTCAACGACCATTGGGAACATCTCATTCACAGTCGGATTGCTCAACCCCAGCTGATTCCCCTTGTCAAAGCCTCCGCCAGGAGCAATAACTACATACCGATCACTCCCCATTTTGCCATGAGAATAGCTTCCAAGCTTCATGAAGCTCCAATTAAGAAAGACAATTTCATCCCTTCCCCTGAGACCAAACTGTCGACCCAGTTCCATGGTGAGGATCTTCAGCAAGTCCTTCATGTCGGTATAAGGCTTGTACACTCCACGCGCAAGCAAGCTCATAAACTTCTCATCCCCATACTCATCGAAGGCAGCCTTTGTTCGCTTGGTTCCCAGTGTTGGGTCGACAGCTCTTTTCTTGTTGAAGTCAAGCTTTACTGCACTGAGGAACGACCCCTTCCCTTTGAAGTCAGCTTCATTGAACTGGATCCCCTTTTCATGAAAAGCTGAGAATAACACTCGAACATACACCGAATGAGTATTCGTATCAAGGGGCTCGCTGGTCTTCGTGTTCTTGATATTAAGAGTCCAGATCATAAGGGCTTGATTCATTAGTGTCTTCTTTAGAGCATTCGGTTTGCCTCCAACATTCTTGTAGAATAAGTAGTCTTCAGTTAATCCATCATTAGTAGGAACCTTCTTGGTGAACATCTCATACATCACTTTGTTTCCTGGTGTGTTTGTTTCAGGATTCGTAGCCTCAAGGATTGTTTGAACAAAGCGCTTGAGGCATCCTTGTCTCTTCGTTGCATACCCTTTGCTGCTTGATTCTGCATTTGCATACTCATCACTTCCAAGTGTGTTGAAGGCGTTTGGATTGCTTATCAGCTTCTTTGCATATTCGAACTGTGTTAATGCCCCCTCTTCCGATTCGACGACAGCAGCGGCAACAGCTGGTGGTGGTGGGGGAGGCGCCAGTGCTGGTGCTGGTGCAGTTGTTTTTTTCTTCTTTGCTGCTGCTGATGGAGCTTTCTTTTTGTTTGGTGGTTTCTTGTTCTTGCTATTCGTTTTCGCTGTTGTGGAGGATACGCCGGTGCGTTTCTTGTTGATTGTGTACGGATTGCGGATTGGTGGTCTTCGATTCACTGCTGGTGTTGCTGTGGTCTTGTCTGCTTGATCAAGAGATACTCTTCGTGGTTTTGTTGCAGCAGCTCCTGCTGCTGCTTCTTCCGGCGCCAACTGGATTCTTTCCCTCCTTGTTGTCGTTGGTGGTGCGCTTGTTTGACTGGGCGCAGCAGGCGGCGGCGGCGCCTTCTTCTTCTTTCTTCCAGCACAGGTGTTTTCTTCTGTTCAACTTACCTTAGCACCAATCACCTTAAAGCTTGGATCCTCCTGAGAGGAGAACAGCTTGTTTTTCTTCTGTGCGCTGCACTGCTGGGAAAGTTCTCTCAACATCTCCCTGCTTTCTGGCCACGCGCCGCAGTCGACGCTGTCATCGTCCTCCTTCTTCTTCTTCTTCTTAGCCGGAGGCTTCTTCTTTGTTGGTGGAGGTGTGGTTGATTTGTTGCTTCTGGTCCTCATGGTTGATACTGTTGCTTTTTTTGTGTTTTGCTTGTTCCCCCCTGCAAATAGTGTGTTTTTCGATATTTCTACGGTATTTCTACGTGAGCTTTGTACTAGAATAGCAAAAAAGATCAGTTTTTCAACAGAAACTGATCACGATTTTTAGCGTGTACTTGTACTTTGTACTACAAATAGTACTATTCAGTACTGAAAATCGTGAGCAACCAAGACAGTTTTTAAGTACCTGTTGAGGTTGGTCGCTGGTTACATGTGGTTACAAGCGCGCACAAGCGCACCGGTGCGCCTGTTTTTGTAACCAGACCCTATTTTTTGTAACCAGAATGTAACCAGACTAGCAGTAGTATCGTGTAAAAATTTGGGCTCTCCTTAGGAAAGGGTTTGGTTACAAATTCTGGTTACAAAATTCAGTCCGCGCGCTTTGTAACCTGTTGAGGTGCATGTACTTAAGCAAAAAAATAATTAGTGTTTGTACGCGAGATTTGCTCAACAAAATAATGTACCTAGAAAATACTACGAGCGCTGAGTACATGGAAATGTTGAGCTGCTCAACGGTTATGGTACAGTACAATACTGTACTAGAAATAATAAATTTTAGTAGTATGAATTATGAAACCTTCCTTTTAGTGGTGACAGACAGTAAATGTTGTAACCACGTACGAAGTAAAGAACGTAACTGCTTCTAGTTTGTGTCAACAAACATCATGAGGAAAAAAATGTAAGATAGCAAACGATCTGTGTCACAAAAACTACATCAAAACACATCACTATGAACGAGAAACAAGACAAAATTTCGTTTTTGTCATCTTTTCAGTCAATTTGAGGTGAAAAAGTGCGATTCGTTTGCTGTACAGCCAGCAATTCTCACACTGTTATGACACTAGAGAGCACTGTTTCATCGATTTGAGATATTAAATACAAGAGTGGTCTGAATTTAGACGCAGATTGACGAGAACGGCAAAATCATGAAAAAAATAGTCACAAAATCGTTCTTTGGGGTGATCCTGTTGTATTTTTGGGTCGATCTTTCCAACGCATTTCGGCAGTCTTTCCAGAAAAGGCAGCTCGCTTGTCGAGATTTCTTGCTTTTCGCAAACGAAGTGGCAAGCGCACGGGTCAACTTGGCGCTTCCGAAACCCACCAACGCTGCTCCCTGGCCTCGTAACCGGAGGCTCCGAAAATATTTTTGCTCGACAGAGTACCGGGATTTCGAGGTGGACAACCGCATTGCAGAGGACGGGGATACCGATGAGGAGGAGGAAGCAACCTTTCGTAGCAATGACGATGTAGAAAAATTCTTTGACGAGGCGGAACGAGACGAAAATCGAAAGAACTTTCCCCGAGGGAAACCCGAGGGCTTCTACGTGACGAACCAATATTCTATCCCCGAAGAGGGATTCGAAGTTTTGCTAAGAACTGTAGATACTGAAAAAAATCTTTTAAAGGACGGTTGCACGGGAGGAATATCACGTGAAGAAATTGATCGATTGGGGATCACCGGGACAAATATCACTCTACCTATTGCTTTGATGCTTCTGGATGCAGAAGCGTACCCGTCTCTATCGAGGGCAAGGAAATCATGCAGGTGAGTATCGTAGCCAGATCTTCGAAGGGTACATTGTGAACATTCAAAACAAGAAAATCATTCTCATTGAATATAATCGATTGCATCCTAATCTTTCTGCTTTAGAAAAGGCCATGTCGTCGTGAATCGCGGGTCGCTGGTTGTGAACAGAGAAACTGGAAAGGAGGAATTCGATCAGGATACGTGCTTTAAAGGCCGAGTGATCGATCGCGTCTATCCCGGCGGTAAGTTTTTGTCATGATCGTTCTTTGAAAATCAAATGAATGCTTTCTCATCACTCAGCAACGGATCGACAATATTTGGTAACACTTTTCGATTATTTCGAAGATGTGATAGGGATCCAGTGCCGAATGCATGGCGGCTGCTACCCGGGCTTTGATACCACGAAACCAAAGTTCGACTTGCCCGTACTATACGAAGATTCTCATTGTGCGATTGTGAACAAACCTGCCGGTATTGTATGTTACTCACAGCGGGACGACAACCACGGGGTAATGACGGTTCGACACGCTCTTCCTTTTGTCCTGAAACCTCCCAAACGGGGGACGGCTGGCATTTATCTTAGGCCGGTTGGTGTGCATCGGTTGGATAAGCCTACCAGTGGCTTGCTTGTGGTTGCAAAGACGAAACCGGCATTGGTGAATTTATCGAAACAGTTTGAGGACCGCAGAGTGAAGAAAACCTATACTGCGGTCGTCAATGGAATCCCTGAGGAACCGATCGAGACTAGTATTACATCGGAGGAGGCCTTGAATCTAGGAATAGATATTGGCGATGGCGACCAAGCATCAAAATGGCAGCTTATCGATCACGCGCTCGACAAAAAGAGCGCAGTCACGGTGTGGAAACCTCTGAATTATACCAAGTCCCTGAAAGCCAAGGATACCACACTTACACTTGTAGAACTGAAACCCAAAACGGGCCGCTACCACCAATTGCGACGGCACATGTCTTGGGTCCGTGGATGCCCCCTCGTCGGAGATGTGTCGTACGATGGAGGTGGGGAAGCAACGAGTCTGCGGGGCAGAGGATTATTTTTATGTTCGAATAGGATCCGTCTGGAACACCCGTACTATAATACAATAGAGGGAAGAACCGAATGGGAAGGTCTCCCAGAGCAACAAAAATGGGCAAACGGCACACTTGTGTTGTCAGAGGATGGTACCACAGTCGAAGTACACGCGAGCATCGATTTGCCAAACAAATTTGAAACGTTCCTAGCCACAGAAAGGAGGCGTTACGAAAAATTTGGGGATGATGTAGCGTAAAATTCTAGATGTTTTCGTTACAAGGGATGCAATGCAATGCGTGTGAAACAGATTGTAGGAGATTATCATGATTGCAAATCTACAGTTGCCGAAAGAATATTCTTTGAGGTGAGAGGATTGCAGTCCTTCTGGGTCTGCCCCATGTGAAATAGTGTAAGGGACACCACGACATCGACCAATACAGAGGACTTAAGAATCCTTTTGCTGACAGGAGTTTGGTGCGAAAAGTAGAAGTATGCAAGAGATTCATTCATATATTCACATGCTTCAACAAGTTGGAACAAATTAACAATTATAAAAACGCTGCCGTATTGCAAAAAACAAAACACGGTTTCAGCCATCGGTGCATCCACTTTGTTCCCATGGGTTGAAGCTATGCTAGAAAGTTATTTTCATTCTAGCTACAATCAAGAAGTTGGCGGAGCTCCACCATTGCAAGTGTTTGATTTTCTTATTTACTACTCGAAAATGTTTTTGGTACGTTTTGAAAAGGGACACCAGGCTAATGTTTTCTCTCCTAGCTTTCCTTTTAAAATAGACCCTGACAGACCAATCAGACAGGGCTCATACCAGCTTGTTTTCCTTCCATGTTGATGCGGTTTAAACGCAATCTTTGTATCGTCGATCGCCCTTTGACTGGAATTCCCCCCTAGTGATGCTGTAGAATCCAAAGGGGATGGCGACGACGTAAAGGAAGAGGTTGGCGGCCATCTTTTGGTCGCATTCCCATATCTTCTCAGTGATTTCTCGGCGACCGTTCCATTCCTCGACGAACTTGTTCTTAGTCACCTTATAGCGTGCGGGGATCGGTCCACCGGCCATTCCCCGTCTATGTTCGCAACACACAAACAAGACAAAGGACAATCAAGCAGGCACCGCGCGTTTAGTTTCAAATCGAGAAGGCAGCCATTGTTTGTTCAATATTATTGGTATTCGGTAGGAAGCAAAAGCACGAGAGATCGAACTTCATTGCTAGCGACGCAGAACGATCGAAACGAAGTGAAGGCAATAGCAGTGGCAATAACAGCGGAACACGGGCGATCGATGTTTGCCCAGCGTGCGCAATCGACAATTTGGATTCCAATCTACTCGCACACGGCTCGACTTACCGTTGCGTCTGAGCGACGACGCCTCTCGTTCGGCTTAAAAGTGTTGCTCTCATGATATATTATTACTCTAGCTCGAGTATGCTATTCAAACCACGAGGTTAGGAGCTATGATGTTCAGTTGGTTGATGTCTTCCTAGTCTACCGTACAATTCAATGCGTAGGTACAGATAACGTAAGATGTTGTACATGCGTTACGTAATCATTAAGAGGGTTTGCTGCTTGCTGCTGTTCGATCATTCGAGCTCCGTTTTCAGTGAGAGGGACTGTTTCAGTTCAAGGCTGGACCCTTCATGACAACCGACTCAGTCGAATAGATTGTTTAATATATGCTACATATGTACTATGAATATGATAACAGAATAGCATCCACTTTCCACTTCGTTTCATTTGGCGCGAAAAAATGACGGCTCAATCAAACCCTACGGGTAACGCGCGCAAACTGCATTGCCTCTGTCGCTTCCCTAGTTGATCGCAAACAGGCATACCATACCGTTCGGCACGGTGTTTTGCTTTCGATTAGACCTTAAGGCACGAATGTTTCCTCTCCTCGCCAACCCAAAACATAACTACCGGTACAGGAATTAGAATTATCAAACGATTACGCAACAGATTGCGCCAAAGATACGAATACGGTACTTAGGTGCGCGACATAATCTGGGGACGGGTAGAAGAGAGAAGAAATTTGAAACAAAAGGTGCTAAGGAACCATGGATTTCGACGAGACGCGTTTGTATTACACGCACCAACAATTGCAGCGACGACCGGGGGGCCAAACAGAAGGCGAGGATGCTAATCAGACGAATGGTGATGACGTTGGAAATGATTCAGCGGACAATGTCAACATGGACGCCGTTCGAAGGCACTTCAAGGAATTCCTGAGTAAGTGATAGAGAGACGATTTGAATCATAGTCGAGGCGACGTCGACAGTTGACTGATTCCAGACATGCATGCGATGGATTGGTTCAAAAACAAAACCAGAGTTCTCACAGACACTTTCAATCCCTCGTTCGCTCGTCTCTAGGACACTATCGTCTGGGCAATACGAGATATGTGTACCGGGAAAAGCTTTTGAGGATGCATCGGCGTTTGTCGAACCACGGGAACAAGTATCCGACCGCCGAATCGGAGAACAATTACGAGGAAAACGAGGACGGAACTACAAACGCAACAAGCAGCAGCAATAGTAGCCGGAAGAACCAGATGATGAACCACAAGAACATGATGCTAGAAATCGACGTTGCTCATCTCGGGGAATACGATGGATCGCTCCTGGGGTATTTGCGGGAATCTCCGTCTGCGATACTGCCGGAGCTGGAGGTTGCAGCTGGGAAAGCCCTCGATTCATTGCTTTACGATTTAAGGGAGTCTTCCTCCACATCGCATGGAAATACCCAAAACGAGGACGACGATCTAGATAACGACGAAGGGAACAGGAGCGAGGCAAACGAAAACGGAAACAACAACAGGACTAACAACAACGATGGCAGAGCCTCTTCCGAGTGGTCGATCCAGATCTTGCTCAAGGGAAACCTCACTTCCACGCCGCTGCGCCAGATCCAGAGCCAGCACATCAACCGCCTCATCAAATGCCCGGGTATTGTCATCAGCGCAACACCCATCCAGGTTCGCGCCGTGAAACTCACGGTTCGGTGCAACAGGTGCATGGACACCCATTCGATCAGCGCCACGGAGGGCCCCTACGGAAACGTTCCCCTCCCGCAGCGTTGCCAGGGCGTAGAGCCGAAGGAATGTGGGCCCTACCCATACTCGATTGTAGCGGACGAGTCCCTGTTCAGCGACCGGCAAAAACTCAAGCTCCAAGAGTCGCCGGAAAGAGTTCCGACGGGAGAAATGCCACGGAGCGTCATGGTCGCCGTCGAAAAGGGACTGGTGGACAAAGCCCCACCGGGGACCCGTGTAAGCCTCTTTTGTATTCCGACGCTCTTCAACGGTGGTGGTGGAGCCCCTGGACAGAGGGGAGGAGCGGGTGCCGTCCAGAAAGTATACCTGAGGTGCGTTGGAATGTCCAAGGATCAGGCCTCTGGCGAGGCCGCAAGATTCACACCCGCCGAGGAGGAAGCCTTYCAGCAATTCTCCAAGCGGGCGGATGCCTACGAGATTTTGACCCGCTCGGTCGCTCCAAGCATCCAGGGCTCGTACACGGTCGACATCAAGAAAGCTCTGGTGTGCATGCTAATGGGTGGAACCCGCAAGCGGCTGCCGGACGGCATGCGGCTCCGTGGGGACATAAACGTTTTGCTGCTGGGGGATCCATCGACTGCCAAGTCGCAGTTTCTCAAGTTTGTAGGCAAGACCTCCCCGATCGGAATCTACACCTCCGGTAAGGGTTCGTCTGCAGCGGGTCTCACGGCGAGCGTGGTGAAGAACGCGGCCGGTGAGTTCTACCTGGAAGGCGGGGCGATGGTTCTGGCAGATGGCGGAATCGTCTGCATCGACGAATTCGACAAGATGCGACCCCAGGATCGGGTAGCAATCCATGAGGCCATGGAGCAGCAGACGATCAGTATCGCAAAGGCCGGAATCACCACCGTTCTGAACAGCAGGTCCGCGGTCCTGGCCGCKGCAAACCCCGTCTTTGGACGCTATGACGACTTCAAGTCGGCGTCGGAAAACATCGACCTGATGACCACAATCCTGTCCCGGTTCGACATGATCTTTTTGGTGCGCGACGTGCGAGAGGAGGAGCGTGACCTCATGATYTGCCGACACGTGATGGGGGTCCACATCCGGGGAGGTGCCCCCGACAGCAACGCTCCCAGTGGGGGGCCCTCCGGGACGGGAGGCCTGGGTTTCCTGGCCGGGCTATCGATGGGAGGGGCAGGCGGTGAAGGCGGAGGAGACCGGGCCAGGTGAGTTTGGTGGCTAGGTGCCGRAACATCTTTTCAAGCAGAGGAGAACTACTGCGAAGCGACAATTRTGCGCATTTCGTTGTTTTGCAAATCGATTGYATGTTACCTAACGCTGTTTCYGCTTCCTCGTTTCTTCGGGGTTTTGCATCACTCAGATCCGAAGCCCAGAGCAACACCCCYGAGGCCATTGCAGAAAACGTAATGCGGCTGGCCACTACGGGGCAGGGCGAGCTAGACGTTCCTTCCATGAAGAAATACATCCAATACTGCAAATCGAGGTGCAAGCCAACCCTGTCGGAAGAAGCCGGCCAAGTGCTGACCAGCTCGTACGTGAAAATTCGGGACGACGTGCGCAAATCGACCCTTCAGTCGCTCGGTGAGGACGCACAAGCCACCATCCCCATCACGGTGCGCCAGCTCGAGGCCCTGGTCCGCATCTCCGAGAGCCTGGCAAAAATCCGGCTCGATTCGGAGGTTCGGATCGAGGACGTGAACGAGGCCCTGCGGCTGTTCCGGGTGTCGACCATGGCCGCTAACTCGGCTGACCAGGCCAACGGCGCCGGTGGAACGGGTAGCGGAAATCCCTTCCTAAACGGAGCGGGCGGGAACAACCGGGAGGAATTTGACCGTGCGCAGGGCTTTTTGCGGTGCCGGCTGGCCATCGGAAGCACGGTCAACAAGCAAAAACTGATCGAGGAAGGATCGGGGCAGGGATACGACTTCATGACCATGGTGCGTGTGCTTTCTGCTATGGCGCAGCGGGGTGAACTGCTGGAGMGAAACCAAGGCCGGCTCCTGAAGAGAATAAAATAGTCACTATTAATCAGGGCACTGCCAAGTCTATTGGAATCAGGGCACTGCCAAGTCTATTGGGAGCAATAAAAGAWCAGTTTTAGAAATTATTTGACTTACAGAATCTACCCTATTTCAACCATCTCAACAAGAGGCGAAGCTTTCAAACATTTGTAGACTGCATTCTGGCTCGTCTTCATCCTGTTGCGGACGACGAWCCGCAGGGTGGACAAACTCCGTGTGACAACCTCCCCGGTGGCGCAACTATAGAAGCCACAGGGACGTTTGCCAGTCCCTACCCTGACTTGCAGATAATAATTTGTCGGAAATTTGTCGGAAAATGAATTTTCTGTTTCGCTTGGTATGAGTAAATCGTTCGTAGTTTTGTTAATTTGAGATCCAAGGCGGAAAATCGGTAACAGCAGTATCTTCTTGAATTTTGATTGCCCGATTGCCCGATTGCCCGATCATCCCATTGGACTTCTTCGAATAAATTTCGAAATTATTTTACAAATGTACTCGTACGTGGTTATTGTACGTAGTGTATTCGTAGTCGTACCTATGACTAGTATTTCGTCAGATTTCAAAAAATTATGAAGCACGTTCTCTGTCCAGTCGTGTGAATACGTAGTGGGCCCATATTATTTATTGCTCGTACTGAGGGACGGATCACGGGTCGTATCGTACGTATCCGTCGAGGTAGCAGTTTTGCATCGAATTTGCACGTTCTTCAAATCCAACCATTGGATGACGATCTCTAGCGAACTTTTGACGCAAACGCGTATTGTACGGTTTGYAGGTACCATGTACGTACATTGCAATACTTCTTGCAGAAGTTCCGTCGAGTCTCGTCACACCAAAGCTGCGAAACATGATTTTTTTTGAAAAAACACGACAAGGAAACCATTCTCTTTCTCTTTTGCTTCAACAAGGCATCATCTCCGAAAGACACAGTACATCTTGACGAACAACTGCAGTGTCGTTCGAATACGCGTCACCCACCATACTCACCCAGAACTAATATATTTCAGCGACAAACCCAACGCGGCTTAGAAGCAGAACAGCAGCAAGCAATAGTAAGACAATGGCCAGCGGCGACAATTCAACCCTTTATGTTCTTTACGGATCCGCCACCGGCAACGCGGAGGGCATCAGCAAGGACCTGACGGCCGAACTCAACGAGAAAAAGGAAAGCCGCCTGCCGGCTCCCTTTTCGAAAGCTGTCTGCCTGGAACTCAACCAGTTCAAGAAGTGCATGAAGGTATGGGAGACAGCTCCGAGCAATCCCGGACAAAAGCACGGTGCCATTCTGGTGTCCAGCACCACCGGGAACGGCGACCCCCCGGAGAACGCAGGTCGGTTCACGCGATTCGTGAAGAAACAAAACAGGGACAAATCCAACCCGAAACCCTTTGAGCACGTTGCGTACGCCGTGCTGGCACTGGGAGATACCAACTACGACCAATTTTGCGAGACGGGAAAACTCATCGACCGAATGGTGGATTCGCTGGGAGGCACGCGTGCGAAGCCACTGGTTTGCGCCGACGAAGGAACCGGRTTGTTGGAAGAGACGGTGGATCCCTGGATGGAAACCATTGCGCAAGACCTGGCAAACGCGTGTCTGGGATTGCCCTCGTCGGCCGAGGCTTCCAGCAGCGAGGAGGAGAAGGTCGACACGAATAAAAGCGCCAACGACGAGACCCCATCGTCGGAAACAGCACCCGCTGCGGCAGATCCCACAACAGAATCGCCTTTGTCGGAAGCAGTTCCGATAACCCCGGCACCCGAAAAATCCCCTTCTCCCCTCTACATTCTCTATGCATCGGCAACCGGGAATTCCGAGGCGATCGCCAAGGACCTGGCGGCGACCTACGAAATGATCCTGAACAACCCTGACTCGAAAACCTATTTCCCGACGGTGGTATGCGCCGAACTGAACCAATTCAAAAAGGCCAAATGGGCAGAGGAAGTGTGGAACCAGCCCCCTGCACCCGGAAACGACAGCGTCAAGCACGGGATACTGATCGTGGCGTCTACCACCGGAAACGGCGATCCACCCGAAAACTCGGACAAGTTTCTCAGGTACCTGAAAAAATCGGCCCGGGCCGCCGCTAAGGATCCCACATCGCGCCCGTTCCAGCACGTGGCCTTTGCGGTGCTGGGGCTCGGAGACACGAACTACGACCAGTATTGCGAAAACGCGAAACTCTTGAACAAATACATGAGCGACCTGGGTGGCACCCAGATCAAGCCGCTGACATGCGCCGACGAAGGGACCGGACAGCTCGAAGAAGTTGTTGATCGCTGGACGTCAACTATCTTGATGGAGGTGACCGATGCCTGCCGCGGACAATCGAGTGTGGAAGCCCCCGCTCCGGCAACGAAGAAACCAGCGGTCGTTGCCAAGAAAGAACGAAAGGTGGACGTCGAAGAGGAAAAAAAAGCAGACGACTCTGACGTCATGGTTCAATCCTCCCCTTCCAATGCTCCGGGCGTCCTTATAATTCAATCGCTCCTCGGCGACGACATTCACAAAGCAACAAAATCGCTTCCAAAGCCGACCCTGCAATCGCACGTGAAGTCCGTGGAGTTTCTTTCGGAGAATGCCGAGACCGCAACGAGCGCTGCGACCGACGACGACGATCGGTCGGACGACGGATCCCGATACACACTCGAGCAACCCTACGAGTCTACCATCAGGAGTGCCAGGTACCTGACGGCAACATCCTCCGATGCGGCAAACGAAATCTGTGAGGGGAACGTGGTGGCGCGGGATGTTTTGGAGAGGAGGTTTCCGCTGCACATTGAGAATGATGTTTCCGAGGCCAGTCGCAACGGAAAACGCGTGATCGAACTGGAGCTCGCCATTCCCGACGATAATAGCTGGGAATACCAGCCGGGAGACTCGCTGGGGCTGGYTATCACCAATACCACCGAGTCCGTCGATTTCGTCCTCGGYATGCTGAAATCTCATCACGGGATTGTCCCCACTCAAAAAGTATCCATCGACTCTGGGGTCCCGCTGACCGTCGAAGAGGTGGTCAGAGAGAAGATTGATTTGTGCACGGTGCTAAAGACCCGCAAGGTCGTGCTTGCGCTTTCCCAGATTTGTACCGATCCCCAAGAACGGGCCGTGCTAGAACTGTTGTCCTCCAAGACGGAAAAAGGCGCTGAACTCTTGGAGACGTTTGTTCACGCCCAGCGCCGTTCCGTCGTGGATCTCTTGCTCGAATTTCCCTCGTGCCAGTGCATCACCCTCCAGASTCTGGTCAGCATTCTGCCACCCATCCCACCCCGATACTACTCGGTCAGTTCGAGTCCCCTCGACGACGCCAGGGGCAGCAGCCTGACTGTTGCGTTTTCGGTCGTCGATTACCTGACGCCCTCGCTAAGTGGCAGCGATGGCACTGAGCTCGGTGCCCGGCGCATCCACGGCCTCGCTACTAGTCACATTGAGGCGCTCTGCGCTCCGTTTTTGTCGTCGGTTTCGGGGGCCACGAACGAACCGGCCTGCGCCATGAAAATCTTTCCAAAACCTACCGAGGAATTCCGTCTGCCGGAGGATCTCGCCACCCCTCTCGTTCTGATCGGTCCCGGAACGGGCATCGCGCCATTTATGGGATTTCTGTCGCATCGCAAGGCGATGGTGGCGTCGGGTGCCGACGACGCAGCCGGTCTGGTGGAGGTCTTTTTCGGTTGCCGGCACAGTGACCACGACTACTTGTACCGAGAGGAACTCGAGACCTTTGAAAAGGACGGTGTCATTGGCCACATGAACGTGGCGTTTTCCAGGGATGGACCCAAGAAGGAATACGTCCAGGACATTATGCTCAGCGACGAAGAGTGCTCAAAACGCCTGGCCGATACCCTTCTGAACGCCAACGGTAGGGTTTACGTCTGCGGGGACGGGAACCACATGGGCCGCGACGTGCAATCGGCGTTTGCGAAGCTTCTCGGTCCGTACCTCGTCTCTTCCAACGAATCGCCGGAGGAATCGGGCAGGGCGTACGTGGAGAAGATGAAGGGCGAAGGACGATTTTTGTTGGACATCTGGAGCTAGAACATCTGGAGCTAGAATGATTGGTAATGCACCGTTATTTAGAATTTCCAGTCACAGCCTGTCGAATCTCTTTTACATATTTCTGGCAGAAAAACGTGTATGCCAATGATGATGATAGTTTCGAAAGAAACTTGAAAAGATTTCTAGACTTGTTGCCTCACTAGTATGTATGCACGAAAATCCCTGTGCACAGTGCGGGTCCGATCTCGTTCCTCTAGTACGATCTACATCCAATAAACTTCTTTTGCCCTACGGTATTATACGTCAAAATATTTTCCTTCCCTATTTTTAGATTCAGAACTTTCTGGATAAACCAAACGTCCTGCGAAAATCAGTGCACGATAGTCTACCATCTATTTCACACTTTTTAAAATTTCGATTGCTATACGAGTTCGTGATCTGGTGATCCCTTGTCGTTGATTGTGTGCCATTCCATGCCTGCTTTCTCTTTTTTAAGCGTGAGAATAATCTTATCCGGTTTTAGTTTGAATTTCGCATTCGATATCTTTGCCGTAAGTCTTCCAAACGACAACGTACGATCCTCTGTCCCCGTCGAATCGGTGCCGGAATAGTTCTTGATCAGTAACGAAAGAGATGATTCGTCCCAATCCAATTGGATATCTTCGWMTTTGCACTGTTCGCCAATTCCTTCCAAAGTGATATAAAGCTTGACCTGCTTTTCTTCGTTCAAGAATGCATACGATGTGATGTTGCTCTTGTGGTAGGCGAAGGATGATGCCTTTCCCGATTGTTCCAATAGTTTTGTTGGATCTTCTAGACTCAGTGCTTTCATGTCTTCTTTGGATAGTGATTTAGGCTCGGCCTTCCCGTCCCATTTTGGTCCCTTGGCCTTGTGCTTGTGTGCGAAGTAGTACGAATTTCTCCCCTTTGTGGCAATGTTGTCTTCGAGGGCCGATGCCTCTGTTTCATTCGGGCTCGCGTTGCTGTCTCCGGCGGTGCCATTGGCAACATCATCACTAGTAATAGGTTCCTCTCCGTCTGCCATCGTTGTCTTCACTAGAAAATCTGAGGTCAGGTGAAAGAGAGAGGTGGTCGTTCCAATAGTCCCTGGTGCGGTCACTGTTGATACCCTATGTGGAAATGGCGTTTGTTTGCATTTGACAGATGATCGAAGAAGAAATTTTTCGATGGTTAGAATGATGACGATGCGTTAAGCTAGTACTATTAYGCACGTAACAGTACGGTACTGTCGTGTGGTGCCGTGAGAAAAACTGAGATGTCGCGCAAAAACTACTGGCTAGACAAGAAAGTGAGTCGAGCTGGTCGTTTTCATAGAAAAGCAACTTTGTGAGCGACTACTTCAGTCAATGCCTGACATCGTTTTCCCTGATCGCTTTTACCGGTACAGTGATAGCCTCCGTATGTACCGTCACGTAGCAATACGTGGGAGACCAACCTCTCTCCTCTCGAACCGAAGGACTCCGTTAAACGTCGTCGGTTGTAGAGATGGAAAAGACACATGACCTTGAACTGACCATATAGTTCTAGACATTGATCTATTCAAGATAGCGAATAATGAAATCTCTTTACGCAGCATTCGTATCCGCTTTCGTCTCGCAAATAATGAAAAAGACCAGACCCCCTTGAGATCGCTCTCGTCGACGACAAAGATGTCTCTTGCCAATAGACCGACTAAGATGGACCCGCTCCACGCGGCAAGGAAAATATGGAAAGACAATTATCTATTCGAGACTGACATACACGCTATTATAAGATGCGGTGAGAATGGTGATGTTGAAAAGCCTCAATTCCACCTAGCCTATATGGCAATGAGAAACAGGGGGGAGATTCTACGCCTTATGCTTGAGGAATCCGGGTGTTCGTACGACTTTGAAATCATTGGATTCAAAAATTGGGAAGGGGGGGTGAAAGCTACAACTCCGCAGGGCAAATGCCCAATACTACGAAACTATGATGGCAACGGTAACGACCTCGGTCAGGAAGGGGCTATCACCCGATTCCTTGCCAAGGAATTAGGCTTTTCCGGGAGGAACTCTGCGGAGGAAGCGGAAGTAGACATGATCTACTCCTTCTGGTTCTCCACCATGAGAAACAACGGTATATCACACGATGGCGAACACTTCTCTGTTGCTTCCCTCCGAGATGCCGCTCCCACGAATCAGCGACCTCGGTACCAAGACGTCTTTCGGCTAAATACATTGTCAAAAGCAGAACGCAGTCTCATGGCACTGGGATACTTTGAGGAATTGCTCGAAGCGTCTGGGAGCGGATTCTTAGTCCCTGGTGGACTCACCTACGTTGACCTGGGATTGTTCTACATACTTTTCGAGCTAGCCGAGGAGGATAACGTTCCGAATTTTGCCGAAAAGTTCGGCTTTCCTAAACTCGGTGCCTTCTTGGATTCCATGCAAAATCGCCCAAGAATAAAGGATTACATCGAATCACCCGGGCGCATGCCAAGGTACCAGAGAGATACTGACGGCACGAGTCTCTATACGTATGTCGAGGGCAAAGGTTCGCCGCGTCGATAGAGAAACGCAGAGACGAGACAATATTTCAATCAAAAATGCCAACAATGTGCATGTGATAGACACCCAAGAAGACATAGGAAACGAGCATATTTTTTCGTGTCAACAGTCAACATCTAAAACACCACTTAGATATCCAATTGCTTATCTAGTAAAGTTCCTGTTGAACATGCCCTTTGTCTTGAAGTCTGTTGCGGAGTCCTAGTGGATCACCTCGCGTCCTGAGTTCCTTTCCAGTCGGATCTCAGAGCAGATCTCCATTTCGAGTTACACCCGGAAGGCCTAATGAATATCCTTTTCCTTGGCCCGTCTCAGCTCCAACAGTAAATCGATGACAAATATCCTAAGTCCCATTATAGTGTGAACGATGATGTTGCTACTGGTTATTCTGAAAGAATCTGTCGAAGGAGGGTGTGATGAAGGCTATTTCTTGGCAATGGGAGGTGAATACAAGTTCTGTGCCAACGTAGTTGAATGTGGATGCATACCCCATCTGAAGAATATCAAAATACGATTATTTTTAGATAATTAGCAAACAACTTGCCCATCAAAGTGTCATCAATGAACTCGAACAAAGTCGATCATTCGGAACTGCTTTTCTGCCATAACATTATATGAAACGCCATAACATTTGCGAAACATTGCGTCAAAAAAAGCCTTTTTTATCAGCATTGTGTCGAAGAAAGCCTCCTATTATTATATGTATCATGAATCGCGCGACTACTAGCAATGAAAACTACTGCTCAGTTCAAATGATGGAGCATCTTATTGTTTACATTCTTTACTTTTCATATTCAACATCCCGGGCTTTCGCTTCTTCTGATTCCTACAGCTCTGCAGCACGCTTGGTTCCCTTTGTAGTAGTAAAAAGACACTATCAATGTGCATGTTTTCTTCGGTCGCTGCACATAGCAACGCCAGAGTTGTGTCGAGGTCATTACCTCTCCGACTCTTAATGATAGCACCCTTGAGTATGCTCTCCACTTTTTTGCTACCAAACTTCATACAAGCCATTTGGTAGGGAGTATCCCCGTCGTTATTTTTGTGAAACAACCCTCCCATTTCCCTCGGAAAATTCTGTAATCCAACCTCGAGCACTGTTCGAAATCCATAAATTGAGTTGCCAGCAGAGAAATGCAACGGTAGCCACCCCTTGTCGGAAGGTTTGAACAAGGAGCCGGGATCCCAACTGGCCAGGTATCGGAATCGAGTTTCTGGGAAATTAGGTTCGCAACATAAGCAACTTATCAGATTGTAATGAATTATATCTTTTTTCAAGAAAAGACCCATCTGTCGAAGTCTTTTCAGTACCGAAAGACAGGTCTCGTTGACGAGTTGATCATGTTCCCTATTGTCCTTTTCGTAGTCGTTGCGAGCAGCGAGCTCCGTCAAAACACTCCATTCTCCGTTGACCAATCCTCCTCGTTCGTTCTCTTCACACTGGTTTAGCTCTATTGCCAATTTTGCTAAGAGAGGAATGAAGGCTGCAGCCTTTGAATTGAATTCCCTGTTACTGCTGCCACTTCTCAGCTGCCAGGTAATGGGATAAAAACCTCTCTTGGATGATAAAAGGTTCGGAAAAAACCTTATCGCAACTTCGACTTGTGCTTCCGAATCGCGGTCACTATTCAGACCTCTACTTGGATCGATGCCGTAATATTGATTGTATTTGAGCAAGTTGAGCACCTTGTTTTCAATTTTTATCACGAAGCTATCTGCGTCTTCTTCTTTCCACTCATCGATTGCTTCCTGAATCAAAGTGGGAAATTCCGACTGTCGTTTGATTATTGAAAATTTTTTCTGTGAATTCGAGGCCTCTTGCCGCTTTTCCTCTTTGACCATTTCAGTGGATGGGAATTCTCCAGATTCTTAGTGGGGATGCGCAAGTGAGTACAATTCTGAATAAAATACCAATGAAGAAGAATCTTTGAGACCCAAATCGTTTCAAGTTGCAACTTTTTTGCATACGAATGCTTTGGGAATTGGACGTATGATAGCCTGAATAATTTGATAGACGCACTCCCACCACTTAATGTATGGCATTGGATGTGTCGTTCAAAGTTTATTTGTTCCATTACGTTTCATCGAAATTTCCTTCGATTCGTAATATTTCTTGGCATGGTTTTGGAATACTGGTAGATAGCGATAGATGTTGACACTTCAAGCACGTTTGGTAGTATTGCCCAGTCGTGAAGTTGGGACGACGTGTCACTTTAGAAAAAGCGAAAACTAACGTTAGAAACATTTTTGTCAGTCCGTACATTACTTTACCTGCCGTACGAAGAAACTGTATCGACAGTTTGCAGCAAGTAGGAAACTAGCTCTACATCCCCATTCGGTACTTGTAGGCTACTTGTACTGTATGCCGTAGCCTCATAAGTTAAAAAGGTTATGAGCTTTACTGTATTTACTTCTATTTTGTACTGTAATTCGAAGTATTTCTTTTTTCAAAGGTTGTAAAGTACCATATCTTTACTAGGTATGACAGATATGAAGTACGTTTACTTAAAATTACGTAGACAACAATCCTCTTTGAACCGTTGTCAACCCTCTTGACCGAGCTTCAATAGTTTTCTGTCTGACGCAAGTCGGACTTTCAATTTTTTACATGGGGGTAACATACGATACCGTACGSTAGGTAGGGTACGGTATACGGTATCGTAGTGATCTTTTCCGAAGTTTTTCTTCGGATTCAATAACGAACCGTACCGGTAGTTTGGTCGTTATGGCAGACGATGGATACGACGATGATTATGTACTAGTTCTACGAACTACTATGCACCCACATCACTGATAGTGATGGTCTTTCCGATATTAACTCTTGCGAAGTTCGTACGAATTCATTTGTTGTACCATTCTTTTCATAAGTAAACATGAGATTCCATTCTTCAATTCTTTTGCTCCTAGTCGGACTCTCCGATGCTTGGGTTACACCGTTGACGAGCACCAACTCTCCGCTCCAGCGAAGTTCAGTGACGACGAGAACCGATCCGACTAGAGTTGCGTTTTCGTCCCCGCAACAATCCACTACGGATGAATATTCTGACAATGACATCACTGAAATCCCAATGTCGAGCGAAGCGAACACGATTGTGGGAGCGACGATGGCCGCTCTGGTCTGCTTTGCTGCTATGACTGCTTCTCCCGAGACAGCTTCGGCGGCGATGACAACAAATTCTGATGTTGCCTCTTCCTCCATCGTTACGGCAGGTGGATCGGTGAAGTCCGCTTTGTTTGCCTATGGACACTACATTTCTCTTTTAGGAGTTGTTTTCATACTCGCGACGGAACGCTGGACGCTTGAGAGTGGACCAAATCTCACGGATGAAGAAGAAGACAGATTAGCCATCGCAGATACATTGTACGGCGTCTTTGGTCTCCTTCTTGTATACACGGGTTACAACCGATTTTCCGATCCCACGTTGGGAAAAGGGATAGACTTCTACATACACGAACCCATTTTTTGGTTGAAAATTGCAATGCTGGGTGTACTCGGTGCGGCTAGTTTTTTCAATACCACCAAAATCATCCAGCGATCCGTCGGACGTTACACTGGAGATAAGACCGTAGAACCCATGTCGGAAGAATTGTGTAATCGAATGAAATCCATTTGTAACGCGGAATTGACTGGACTGTTATTTATTCCCATGGCGGCGACATTCATGGCACGTGGCATTGGTTACAACGAGTCGATTCCGTGGCAAGCTGAGGCTGGTGTTGCGGCGTTGATTTTCGCGGGATTGTCGTTCAAATACATCAAGGAGGCTCTTACTTTTGAATCGCGACTTGCCGAGACTACTTCTGCCAGCGAATAAAAATCTATTTTTTTTGTCAACGAAACATGCGTCCACTCTTGCATCGTAAGCAATGAGTGTGTTGAAAATATTGTCGTACACTAGAACTTGTTCCACATTTGTTTCGCGTCTTTCTGGAAAATATTTCAAATCGCGTGAACAGATACCCTGACGGCAGTGGATCATTCAAGAAATCATAGTAGTTGTATTGCATGAAATTACCCACACTATTGGATGAGGCGATCTCTTCCAATTCTCCAACTGTCAACTGTAGCTGCCATGATCCACAAGCCACGATGCCTACTCTTACGCACTTTAAAAAATGTAGTAGTCACCGACCAAGCTTGAAAACAATTATTTTGAAACAAGTGGACTTGTGTTCGGCCAGTGTCATTGTTGTGCACGTAGCAATACGTTGGTGATGATCATTCTAAAATAATGACTTCCTTTAAATAATTATATTGTTACCTGCAATATAGTATTATTCAACAGCGACAGCGGTGAATTTACTCCATGTTCTTTTTAACATAATCGATCAAACTGTACCCCTTTGTGGAAGGGTCAGATTTGCTCCAATCGGGGTCGATTTCATAAGTTGGAGCATCTGCGGGGTAGTTTCCGTCGGGAAAGCAAACGTCCATAGGCAAGGGAGGGTTGCGCATGAATTTAGACCCACCGGGCATGATGGGGTTGCGGTAATGATCCGGATGCGTGTAGTTCCAGAGTTTTTCTTCTCCCTCTCGCAACAACCGGGTCGCCTTTTCTGGTCGGCAGCCTCGTTCTTCGTCGAACTGAAATCTTATTTTGGTAGCCTCTTCGTTGAAAATATCCCGATCGATACACCAACTGCTCAGGAGCTTCAGTGAGGCTCGGTACAATCGTGCTACCTGTTATCGGTTCATTATCATTGTTATTGTTTCGTGCAATCATAGAACACAAGGATGGAAGAAAACAGGTTTGTTGACATTAGATTCAAAAAAGAAACAAGGGAACATTTATCTCTTCAACGTTTGTGCCCTTGCATGTTGCCGTTACTTGTATCAATCGCGAAGGCCGCCACAAATTTGTAAATGTATCCTGGAAAATTCATTGACGAACAACAAAGACGCTCGAACAGGCAACATACCTGTTGATTATGAGTTAATTCCGGTAGCCTTTGCTTGGCTTGATCGGATGCCATCTGAAAGGCACTGTTCAAGTTTTGTGGTCGTGGAAACGGAGGCATGTTGACTTCGGTAAAGGAGGGGATATCTTTTTAAACAACGAAATGAAATACCGCACCGTTGTGTAGACAACTCACAGGTCTACTCCTGGGTCAAATAGAAGTTAATACACTCAAAGTGTTGGTATGACAGCCTGTGGTAACGTACTGGGTCTGTTGGGCATCAGCTGTTGACGACGGGTACGAGTAACGGTGTTAGCTTTGTTTTTTAGTTGCGCTACACAACGATTATCTTGCGCTGCTAGCAGGGAGACTGAAACTATCATAGATATCTATCTTTTCTATTTATCATACATACATACATTCATAGTCTATGTTCGTGCACGCGATTCGCGCGTGTTGTTTACATTTTCTACTGCCGGTAGACAGACGAAATGACGTCTTTCATGACTGCTGATGCCCAAAAATCTGTTTTGCATTCCCCAACTTGCCGTCTGTGCCGTCCAAACGAAACACGACAATTGCAAGACGATAACAACGACGACGATGCCATGATCAGTCGTATCATAAAATATCCCTCTCGTCCCTCGAAACCGTTGACGCATACCATGACTTTTTTCAAGAAAGCAGCCATCCTATCTACCTTGTGCTCTTCGTCGGTTGCCTTCACCACACTCGGCATGAGCAAACAATCGGCAACAAGCTTGAAATCAGCGGTAGTCGACTTCAGCAAGTACGAAGGATTGGGAAATGATTTCATTCTGGTCGACGATCGGGACAAGGATGCTCCCAGTCTCTCACCAGAGCAATCGGAGAAGCTTTGCAACCGAAACTTTGGTATCGGTGGAGATGGTGTCATCTTTGCCCTCAAACCACCTTCCGACGATTACGATTTTTCCATGAGAATCTACAACTCGGACGGAAGCGAACCAGAGATGTGCGGGAACGGAATCCGATGCTTTGCGCAATTTTTGAAGGATCTCGGTGCCGATGCCGAATCCTACCAGGTCAACACCCTTGCGGGCCGTATTATTCCGGTCATGAACGACGATGGAACAATCACTGTGGACATGGGAGAACCCATCTTGAAGGCCGCAGATGTGCCCACAACACTAGCTGCCAACTTTGAGGATGATATCTCTGTCGTCGAGCAAGACCTCGAATGCAACGGGAAGAACTGGAAGGTTAGTGCTGTGAGCATGGGAAACCCCCACTGTATCATCTTTGTCGACGATCTGGAAAACGACATTGATTTTGAATCCGACGGTCCAGCCCTCGAGTCGTGCGAGGCCTTCCCCGCCAAGACAAACGTCGAGTTCGTACAGGTCATGTCGGACACGCACCTGAAAATGAAGGTTTGGGAACGTGGAGCGGGACCCACCCTAGCTTGCGGTACGGGTACATGTGCGTTGGTGATTGCCGCCATCCAGGCCGGGAAGATTCCCTCGGGCAATAAGGTACGTGTCACACTCCCCGGAGGCGACCTATTCATCGAATGGAATAAGGACACGGACAACAAGGTTTTCATGACCGGACCTGCTACGTACACCTTTTCGGGCAAGGCTGCATTGAAATAAGCGAGTGACATGAACGAAAACATAGCAACTATACAATAGAAAATATTATATGCATCTACTAGTATTTATTTTGTTGGCCCAATCCATAGGATTTCTATCAGATTCTAAGTGAGAGGAGAAAGGTGAAACAAGGATCATAATTACAGGTGCGTTTCACCATGTGAAAATCCGGCAATTGGTTCTTTCTCCATGAGGGGAGTTGGAGACATCTCTGAAGTGACGCTCAAATCCATGTCATTCGTTCCGATTGGCATTGAAAGCTTGCTGATGGAATCAGAATCTTCGTTAAGAGAAAACCACGAACGGTTCAGAGGGGAATTCAAGTTCAAGGGGGCGTGCAAATGCTCGGGGAGAGTGCCCATTGGGATATCGTTTGTTGGATCAGTACATTCTATGAACGTACACAGATGATTCGTCGGTAGTTCAGAATTTTTCGCTGTTGACTCTAACTCCACTGAACAAAATGCTTTTGCAATGGAATCCATTTTGGTCTTGAGGAGTTCTGGGTATACACTGGTAGCGGTCGTTCCATATGTGCAGGTGTCCCCTTCGCCATCATGCGATGGATTGGATGTTTCGCCTACAGCTGCCTTCAGTTTAGAAAAGTATTTTACAATCCCGCCCATAGGTTTCGAGATCATGCTTTCGCTCTCAGCGGTTCCTGCTTCGGGCAACGACATGAGCACAGTTTCATCCGAAAAAGGATTCATCATCCGGATGGATTTGGATTCTGAAGACATCCTATCGAGCATCTTGTTGAAGTCAGCCTGGGATTTATCCACTGTATCTATCAGATCATCATCGAAAGAGAGAAGCTCTGCGGTAGTGTTCAGAGCGTTTGAAGGGCTTTCGTTCGCTTTCTCAGCTACGATTTCTTCGGGTGGTGCTTGGACATCGGTTGTCAAATTGTTGTAATCATTTTCCAACGGAACGCATGGAACTTGCACCTCATTTTGGGAAGAGTTTCTTGGACTTGTTGGCGTACTTTCGGTCTTGTGTGCTTTGTTCGTCGCATAGCCATTCGGCAGCGGTTGTTTGCGAGTGCGTACTAACTTGGGGGGAGATGGGGGGATTGCCATTTCCTTGGCATCTTCGAACGCTTTCCAGTGCACTGATTTCTTCTTCGTGCCAATGGGAGCTTTTTTCTTCCCATTAGTGTCAACGTGTGGAAGGAAAGATGATGCAAAATATACATCGAACTGTTCACTACACGAATCATCGCTCTCTTTACTTGGAGACTCGCATGCTGTACTGTCGTCTATTGATGCACTTTCGTGGTGAATAAGCTAGTATTTTGATATTGAATTATAAGCAATGATGATGTCACGGTTAGTTGTGGCAAGGATACAACGAGGACAATAAGCCTTAAAGAGTAAACGTGATCACTTCGTGCGTTTCGACGTACCTTCTTCTCGTCGGAGCTGACGCCACCTTTCTTCCGAAAAAGACCCATCAGTCGCAATCGCAATCCAACTTTTTTGGTCACCCTTCCTCCATCGTTTCCTGTTCCCATTGAACGATAGGCTCCTTTTCCTGACATCTTGTTGGATAATAAATCTGACGGAAAGTTTTCCAATAGGCACGATTATAATCCTGCAATAAGTTGAAACAGATCGAAGTTATCTTGCGTTCTACAACGAGACAATGGTTGTGTTCCCGTATTACCTCGTTGGTTGCAGGTTTCTAATTTGTGACGATGCTTTGAATCAGTGAAATTTCATGCCGTGGGAATGGTAGCCGATAACGGGTTTGATGACAAAGAGGATCAAACAGAGTAAGATGGTAATGGAAAGCCGACATCAGCAATTGGACCGATGAAAAATGTATTGGCGGAGGTGATGGTGTACTACTCCCACCAATTTGAATTTGTTGAAAAGATCGAAACTCAGCGCGCGAAAAATTTCATGATTTCTCATGAAAAATTTCGGACAGAAAGTGAAAAAATGATGTCATCGTGTGATTTAACTTAAGTTTTGAGTTATCTGACGCGAGCAATTTGTCTCGTGCGAATAAAATAGATTATTTACTATGATAACAAAAACAAACCATCGGATGCAAGACCTGTATCTCCAAATTTTTCGATGCGATGAAGTACTCGCAACCTCTAAATACCTTAAACTCAGGAATAGGACTTAAGTAAGAGTTGCGTCACATTCTTTCTTACTATCGAACTGATGACGGTTGTATTCAGAAAGGATTTTTTCTTATTGGTCAAAAAAAAAGCAAAACAAAACGGGGCTTGATTTGGCGCGCTTCACTTAGCGGGATACTTTTCTCATCATTCAAGAAATATGTCGTCATCAGTCGTCATCAGTCGTCATCCCTAACGGGTTTAGTTGTGAAAGTTGAAAATTCCCAATTCCATAACCCAGATGCTCATAACCTATGACATGCAGTTGTGGGAAAGGGGAAAGCTGTATCTGAGATTTTATTGCTAGTACTAGTACTGGTAGTGGCACTACTAATCACTGTATGAGGTAGTAAAATCTATCCAAAGTGAGGACAGACGATGATATACCACCATACACGTATCAGTATCATTCCACCTTAGTATAAGAACAAGAACAACGTCACACAAACCGGATCTATG